AGCGCAGAGACATCGTAGCTGTAGGATGGGCCGGGAGCAATGGACGCATCGAAGCAGTGGGCGATCGACCAGAGCGCCGGAGGCGCTCTGGGAGATCGACCGTAGACTGTCTTATAACGACACGTGCCAAAAAATTTAAAAATCTGATCCTCTCCTGTTCTCTTTCTTCTATCTCCTCCTCTTCTCTGCTCTACTCTCTTCCTTCTATCTTCTCCTATTCTCTACTACTCCACCTTCTTCTATTTCTCTGTTCTCTCGTTCTCCATTTACTTTCATACATCTCTTATTGCCTCCACTTGTATTTCAATTTCTCATATATTTCGTTGCAATTCATATATGCAACCCAAATTTCACCTGATATTTTTATATTTGAGAAAAATGCCTTCCATACCTGAGATTCGATCCGTGTCTACTAGCATGCCAGCAGGTGCACGTATCCACTCGACCACCGAGTGTTTTTATCATTTATATTTGATTCTTCTATTTATGTTTCTACTTTATTCAACTTTTTAAAAACAACAACACAACGCAAACAACAGCTATATATTGTACACGCTCGACGCACTTAAGATTTATCCTGCAAACGGCAAAGGGGAAACCAGAAAGAAATATGAAGAAGTATATAATATTACATTATGTTTTATTAGCAACATTAAAAACTACATATATTGATTTAAAATCGAAAATCAGAGGCAGCTCTTAAATCTCCTGGAAGTAAAACTTGCCTTGTAATACGCGCAACTCTAACATTTCTGCGACGGAAGCAGTAGACTCCTTGGCACAAGTGCTCCTAAACTTCTTCAACAGGCATCAACGTTCTTTATTTATACTAATTAAAACACAAAACACAAGGTGCAAGCAAAAATTAAAATAACTGCAATACAATACAAAATATTTACATATAAAAACGAATTCTACTTGCTTGGACAGTACAACAAACATGTATGTACACATTAATACATAAATACAGCAAAGTCATATGCACAATAAAAAGAGTTTTCAAGTTCTACATACACAATAACATAACACAAACAGCAATCAAGGAAATGTGCTCAAGAAGATGCCACGCACAAACACAAATCTAGGATTATGCGCACTGTCGATGAAAACCCCAACAATTTCCCCCACATGTGAAAATCCTACTTAACCACCCAACTTTCGACTTTAGATATGTTGCAGACGCAACTTCGGCAACAAATTAATACAATCCCAGGTAGAATTTAATTTGACATTTCTAGAATCCGCACGGAAATTTCTAGGCCGCCTCCCTCGTAAGCAACAATTTCAGAAAATGAAAATAAAGGAAGTCTGCACTTTACCGTTCTTTCTCGGCTTCCACGAAGAACATCGTCCATGTTCCCAGGGCAAAATACCAAACACAACGACACAGAGAGACCGCAAATAAATGAGATAATATCACAACACACATTGCAGGCGTTGCAGGTTCATGCTACCTGCACCATGCACGCTTGCAGTGTAAACAAGTTGATAACACGCGGCCAGCCTGCAATACGCACAACGAACGCAAAGAAAATTAACGAGTTTGTATATTCGACACCCGTTTATCTATTAATGAAACACTAAATACGTGAGAAACAACTAAATCCAGCCGATGGACAATCGAAATGAACGCGATTTACCGAATTACAAACTATAAATCAAACGATAACAGTCGCGAGAAACACGTCCGACCCGAACAATGACCGGCACAAAACTGCTGAGCACAGCGCGCAGCACGCGACCACAGCTCAGGAATTTCGACTAGAAAAATGCAAGTGTGATTTTTGGTTAAATATTTATTAAAACTGCAATAAATACGCTTATAATTATAATTTAACTATAGGTATATAAAAGAAATAAATATATTTTGTTTTAACAAAATTTAAACAAAATTTCAATACAGGGAGGTACAGAATTAAATTCCGCATCAGGGAAAATAATTTCGAACCTATTGTGACACGGCGTTCGTGTGCTATATCAAAAAACTACAATTCCTAGCGCAACGAGTACTACGGCGCATTTTCTTCAATCACGAATATCTCGTAAACTAAAAGAGATAAATAGGATCTGATCGCAGCGTCTTAATCCACGGATTCTCTATAAGATAGGCTGAGAGATGAAATTTTAATTCTTAAGAAAAAATTGCCAAGGGATACTTTTGATACTTTTTTCGACGATTTTGATAATTAATATCTCTTAAACTAAAAGCGATAGCTACCAACGAATTGTTGATTATGAAAGATTGGAAAATTCTCTATCAGATAAAAATATAAAATAATTATATTTCCTACAGTAAAAGGTCGAAAAACGCGACTAAAAGTGCTAAAAAGTGACATTTATCAATTTTTGCCCATTTTATTCAATCGCGAATATCTCGTAAACTAAAAGAGATAAATAAGATCTGATCGCAGCGTCTTAATCTACGGACTATTCTCTATCAGATAGGATAGTTAAAAGGGAAATCTGAGAGATGAAATTTTAAGTCTTAAGAAAAAATTGCCAAGGGGGGGTGCTTGATACTTTTTTTCGACGATTTTTGATAATTAATATCTCTTAAACTAAAAGCGATAGCTACCAACAAATTGTTGATTATGAAAGATTGGAAAATTCTCTATCAGATAAAAATATAAAATAATTATATTTCCTATAGTAAAAGGTCGAAAAACGTGACTAAAAGTGATAAAAAGTGGCATGTATCAATTTTTGCCCATTTTCTTCAATCGCGAATATCTCGTAAACTAAAAGAGATAAATAGGATCTGATCGCAACGCCTTAATCTACGGACTATTCTCTATCAGATAGGATAGTTAAAAAGGAAAGATGAGAGATGAAATTTTAAGTCTTAAGAAAAAATTGCCAAGGGGGTGCTTGATACTTTTTTCGACGATTTTGATAATTAATATCTCTTAAACTAAAAGCGATGGCTACCAACGAATTGTTGATTATGAAAGATTGGAAAATTCTCTATCAGATAAAAATATAACATAATTATATTTCCAACAGTAACAGGTCAAAAAACGCCACTAAAAGTACTAAAAAGTGACATTTTTCAATTTTTGACCATTTTATTAAATCGCGAATATCTCGTAAACTAAAAGAGATATTTAGGATCTGATCGCAGCGTCTTAATTTTCAGACTACTCTCTATAAGATAGGATAGTTAAAACCGAAGTCTGAGAGCTGAAATTTTTATTCTTAAGAAAAATTGCCAAGATAATTAATATCTCTTAAACTAAAAGAGATCGCGACCAAAGAATTGCTGATTATGAATGATTGAAAAATTCTCTATCAGATAAAAATATAAAATAATTATATGTTTTAAAGTATTTTCGAAATATATCCCGATTTCCGCCACAAAATATAAAAATTCCACTAATATCACGGAATTTTAAACACGATTAAGACAGTTCACGCGTAATTTCGGGGATGACCATGGCGCACCGTCAAGAACAACTTTTGTACTATAAAATTATGAAGAAAAACCACAAATATTCCCAAAGTGTCGAAGTTAGTTGATAGATATTCGCGGATTGACCTTAACACCGACCTATCTTTTGTAGTGTGGCACGCCCGATGAACGCGTTAAAAAAAAACTATTTATACATAATACATGCATATCGCTGATAAAAGTTCACATTAAATACGATTTAATTATTCACTTACCCGCATTATCATCAATTAGAACGCTAGATGTTTGCCATAAGTTTAGAAGTAACCCGCAAATTAGCTACTAATGCAGAATTAGCGCTGGGACACGTTAACCGGCGTTAAGATCACGACAAATGTTATTAAAAAACGCACTTTAATACATTTAAAAACACAGCGATCGAATACAACGCGATTTATAGAATTAAATTTTACAAAACGATACGCTTCGCGGAACAATGCACAGTGCACCGAAGGAACATGGCGAGCATGCCGAGTGCAGTGATGTCGCGCGAATACTAAGGCTATAAGATAAGATGAGAAAAGATATTCTAAAGTCGGCCTGTGAATAACACGCGATGGATCACATTCTTGCCTGAATTGAAGCGGAGAGAAGGGATAGGCAAAGACGGCACACGGCAATTTTGCATTTCGTTCGTTGAATACAATCAAAAAAAGTTGTTTGTACACAAACGGAGATAAGCGCATCGTGAACAAAACAATTGTCGTGTGAAACGCTTGGTTTTAAATACAAACTAAGAACTAAATTTCACATCTCATAAATGCTGTAAATAATTTAATTTCTTTACTTACAAGTTTATCGAAGAGCGCAAATCAAAGAAAAGTAGATCCTGAAATAAAGAAAACATGGAAGATAAGTTAAACCATTCCGTGCAATGTTTTGTAGTTTGTTAATAACCGCGATATTCGATGTAAGTATATTAATGACAATATTTACCAAATAGCAAATGAGAACCAGTGCAAACGGTTGGCGTCCAACGGCACGTTTTATATGCACGACCGCACATAAAACACGACAAATTCAGGTTTAGAAACTTTTCACATGCCATAAATCATTAGCAAATCACCAAACGACTATTAACCGTATATATTACAGGTGGATTAAATATATCGCGGTTTACCGATTTGTACAAAGAACGCACCACGCTGCACAAAATGCGAGATGCGTGCTCGCTATTTTCGAACGCGTGACTAAGATTGTACACGACACTTACAACAATCTTTAGTTAAAAGTCCATCGCAGCGCCCTCTAAGAATACGTCGCAAAGATATCGCAGTATTTCAGACACTGGAGTACAGATGTCGCTAGAGTGCATGTTTCAACAGGAACCTACAACTCTAAACTGTATAAAATAATAGCATTTTGATACATAAATGCATATATCCGACTAAAAACAAGAGCAAATTTTCAAACGCTTGCCTTAAAAATATTAAAACATGGAATAACAAAATTATCAAAACAATGGTTGTGGTCCATTTGTAAGCACAAAACTGAAGTCTACAAAGTCAACTACAATCAACAAATTGCAGAAGTAATCTGACTCATAACTAAATTTGTTTTCAAAATGTTTAATTGAAAAGTTTAATTCTTATAATTTATGCAACACCAATAGCAACCGGGGGCGCGTCAGGCTTGACGGGCTTGATGTCACTGCTGGGGTGCGACGGCATGATCTCCTCCTTCGGCTCGACGACGCACACGTAATCCGGCAGTGGTTTCTTGGGGCCGGTCTTGCCGTTAGGATCCCACGGCAGCATGATTTTCACCTTAATGCCGAGCACACCTTGTCTCAACAATACGTGGCGCGTGGCGGTGTCGACGTAGTCGTTGATCGGGTCGCCGGAGTGGATCATCAACCCATCGACGAACTTCATGGACTTGGCACGCTGACCGCGCAACTTGCCTGATACAACGACTTCACATCCTGCAACACAAAAGCAAAATACAGTCAACACTCATAACAATAACTTGTCAACAAGTTAACAAACCTAATAAAAATAATAGTCTAAATATAATAAAATTAAGTTTTATGAAATGTTATATTGTTTATGCTAAAGTTTCTTGTTCAATTTCAGCTTGCATTCATCCGTGAGCGGATTTCCGTCTAAATAATTCCCGATTGTCGGTACTTTTTGTATAACTTCATCAGGCACACAAGTCAACTTGTTATAGCCGAGTTTAATCCAATCCACCGAAATTAACGGCGCTAGAAGTTGCGGATCGATCTCCTGTAGACGATTTTTCGTTAAAAACAGCCAACCCAACATCTCCAAGCCTTTAAAAGCATCTTTATCAATCGATTCAATCTCATTCTCGTCTAAGTAAATATTCGTAGTCACATTGCGACCGCTGATCACGTGCAATCCTTTGACGTGTACAAAGGCACCACTCGGAATAGTGCGAAGACGATTATTCTTAAAACTAAGCGCCGTAATCTCCGGACTATTTGTAAACCATTCAGCATTCCAATGTGCTATTTTATTATGGTCTAAACTCAATAAGCCCAATGCTGGCATATCACTAAATGCGCCCGGTTCGATGACAGAAATACTGTTGTTCACCAAATTTAACTCCGACAGCGGCAAATGATTGAACACGCCAACTTTAATCACCTCCAGCTTGTTGTCCTTGATACGCAACAGACGTAACTTTGGTAGATTTTGAAACGCCTCCATGTTTATCTCGATGATGCCATTGCTGTCAAGCACTACGTCGACAAGGTTGGGCAGATTACGAATCGCGCCTTTGTACAACACAGGAACGCTCTGGTTTGTGATCTGCACGTAGGAGGCTTTCTCGAGAATGCCGTCTGGCTCCAAGCAGCCAGAGACAAAGTCAACGCCGCGTACCCAACCGTAGTAATGGAAGTATTCTTAAATGTAGGATAATCACAACTTTCCACCACAATCAGAGCAATACACGTTAGTAATAGCGTCACGCTAATGGTATGAGCACACATTTTCATCGTGGTTTTGATCGATATTCGATGAGATGTGCGCGTAGACTGACGATTCTACGCTCTGCATGAAATCATTTTTATTTTTACATTTCCATTACGATTCAATTACCCGAGGTCATGGTGATAACCCCCACGATGATAACCAATAATGAACGAACATTCATTTATAAAATGTATACAATTTGTAAACAAACTATAAAATTGTAAAATCCAAATTAAGGCAAAACTTGTATCAAAATATACTTTTATTTTCAAAAAGTATAGGAATGTAATTACGGAATTTGCTCTACTTTGGCGACTCTACTTTGTTACTAATTTGAAAATATGAATGTGTTCTGGATTGAAACCTACCTTTAGCTCCAGATTCCATAATGAATCTAAGCACACCATAGCATGCCCGACGAACGGCAAGCCCGCCAATAAGCTTGTATCTGAGTGATTCAGCTTGAGCAATAGCGCACAAACCGCGGGTAGCAACCTTCTCAGCATACAGCTCCACTGTGCTCTCAGGGAAGTTGAATCTCTTCTGTACAACAGAGGTTAATTCACGAATGCGACGACCCTTCTCACCGAGAACGTTCTGGGTGCGTGTAGCCATGATAATGATCTCTGTGCGAGTTGGAGTAACACGCACCTCGACGCCGGAGTAACCATCTTCAGCGAGTTCACGAGTCAAGAACTCGTTTAATTCGGCTTTAAAGACGCCGTTCGCCACAAACTACAACAGAGAATAATAATGAATTCACAGATATACTCACTGATATGTAACATAAAATAACATGAAAACCACTAATGCACTGGATTTCTTAATGTTTAATTCGTTTTCGAAACAAGTAGAATCCATGTAAATATGAACCACACAGTCACTTCTAGGTTAACTCAAAACAATCCGAAAAAATCTGGCACATCCGTGGCTACGATGTCAGTTAAGCACTTTGTTTAATTAATTTGGTAATAGATGAATAATCCAGGCGGAATATATAGTAAATTTTCATTGGAAATTATTATTATTTAGCAATTTACCTTGCGTTTCTTGGATATCGTCGTGGTTGCCATTTTGACGGACAAACTAGAAAGAGAGGTGCGAGCGCTGTCAAGTACAAAGTTACCAGTGTTGCCACCTTGAACAGAAATTGTAACTAAAACATTTTCAGTATCCCTAGATGCAACCAATTTCAAACAGTTTGTTTCTTAATACGTTGATTGCATTAAAATTGATAAACTTACGTGCTCCAAGTGATAATAAATGATAAATAATGTCTCTCTACCAAATGTAAATAATGATTTGCTCGGATTTAGTCATGATGCCGACTGGTCCTGGCGTAGTCGCATGCGTTTGCGTAGGTTGTTTGCTGTTTTTCGGCATTTTATCAAAGTTTAGACCCAAATCTTGGGAGGAAGATGAATTTCAATTTTATATTGATAAGTTTAATAAAAGTTATGTGAATGAGACGGAATACCAACAGAGATTTCTAGCATTCAAGGTAAGCATATATTATATTATATTATATTATCACACAACATACAATCGATGTTTTTAAAAGAAATCCCTGGAAATGATTGAGATAATGAATAAAAACCGTACGTATCAAACCAGCGCACTGTACGGCGTTACCGCATTCTCGGACATGTTACAAAGTGAGTTCGAGGATTTACGCTTACAGAAGAATTACGCCGAAAGAATGGCGTTGAGACAAGCCAACAACGCGGGAAGCAACGAAAAGCTACACAGATTTCGCCGCGACTTTACCGACGCTAATCTACCCCGCAAGATAGATTGGCGCACTCAAGGGGCGCTCACCCCGGTGAACAATCAGCACGAGTGCGGCGCTTGCTGGGCGTTCAGCGCGATCGAGACGATTGAAGCAGCGCACTGGCTGCGCACCGGAGAGCTGCGACCGCTGAGCACGCAGCAGATGATCGATTGCGCACGCAACGGCAACAACGGCTGCAGGGGCGGCGATATATGCACCCTCTTCGAGTGGCTAGTTGATAACGACGTCGCCATCCGTCCGGCCGATGATTATCCACTGCATTTGAGGGATGAGCAATGCAAAAAATTGACAAGCGTTGGAAACGCTACGACTGCATCTGAAAGCAAAACGGACGTGAGGGTTACGAATTTCGTCTGCATGGATATGATTGGGAAAGAGGACGATCTGTTGGCGGGTATAGGCCGCATGGGTCCGGTGGCGGTGGCCGTGAACGCCATCAGCTGGCAGAATTACTTGGGAGGTGTGATACAGCATCACTGCGGGTCGCATCCGGCCCTCATGAATCATGCCGTCCAGATCGTCGGCTATGATCTGGAAGCGGAAATTCCGCACTACTTAGTACGGAATTCATGGGGCGAGGAGTTTGGCCATCAGGGGTATTTGAAGATCGCCATTGGGGGCAACCTTTGTGGGATTGTCAACGAAGTGGCTGCCGTTGAAGTCACCTGAAAGTCCACAAGTTTCTACAAGGAAGTTGGTTTTGAGTAGGGTAATAAATAAATAATTTCAAGCAAACAGAATGCTTTATTAGATACACCACTGCAATAAATACACGCTTGTAACAAACTGATATGACTTAATCATCAAATATTGTACTCAATTAGACAGTTTTCGTTAAACACTAAGTTAATAATAGTTGTATAAATTAATATCCAAATGCAAAAACGCAAACGCGCTGGTCGCGCTCGGTCTCCGAGATTGCGGGGAGTTGGGAGCGGGTGGTCGCGGTGTTGTTGCGATGGGGGTGGTAAGAGGGTCGCAAACATCGTTCGGCCTCGCCTCGCCGTCGCTCAACGCAATAACAAATCCAAACAACTTTTGGTCACTTACATATAAGTAATAATAGCAATAATAAATGCCGCCGACGGGCGCAAACGTTTCCACAACATCGTTTCTATATTTCCATATTAATAAATTACTTGGTAAAATTGACCTGAACTCTATTGACTAGGCACACTTAGTTTATACAATATATGTATCGTTTTAATAACAAGAAACTGTCCACTATTAAAAATAGAAACCTCCGACAATATTTCCAATGCGATCAATGCGTCAATAAACTCAAGAACAGATCAAATCATCGAATGGCGAAGACCCGAATCGGCGTTGCGGGGGTGGGCCGCAACAGTCTGGAGCCAAGATGGTAATGGCGCAATTTGCAGCCGCCGCCACCCACCGCCCGCTGCGCAGCTTGCGATAATTTCGACGCGCTTTAAAAATATCCTCTGTCGCCTCTGTCTGCCTCCTCGTTCATCATCTCGTATATAGTAAATATTACAACATATAAATCATCAAGATATTTCTCATATTGTAACAGGACCGTTAACAGTGTGTATACATGGAATGAAATGCTTACATGCCTACGTTTATGCCAGATAATGTGCTCCGATAATAATCAAGTGAGATATACACATGCACCGCCGCCGCCAAATATTTATCAAAATAAACGCCTTCCTACACGTCCTCCTCGTCGTACAATAGTAGATAATAGCGTCAAACATCTGAGAAACGTAAAACTAACACAATCTGATTATTTTTTTTTTGTGCGCGGTAGATGTCCGCTTTTCTGTTTTTTACAATTTTACAATTAGTTTTCAACATTTTCAATCATCTTTTGATTTTAACATTTTAACATTTTTTGAAAATACATTTTTGTAATATGCGTTTTTTGGGGGTGTGGGGTAGAACGTTTCAATTAAGCCAACGAGTGGAGTCTATATCAACATTATTGTCCACTGTCGCAATTTGGTTTTTTGTCTGCTTTTAGAAGAACGAGTTACGGTTTGACATTGAACGAATGTGTGGCTTGAGTCGAGATATTCGGGTGCATTTGGTCATTTCATTAAATTCTTTTTTTTTTTTTCGGAAAAATTTACTTCTAGGCCCACCTTTGTTTGCATGTGACATTGTTCGTGTGTTTTCGTTCGATCGTTTTTCTTAGTATTTTTTTTTTATCTTCGTCCTACTAATAATAAATACAATCTATGTAACAAACATAGCTCAAAAATATATTTATATATTGCCATGATTAATATTTTTCAATTTTGCAAATATAGACAATACAACATCAGTCTTACAGTTGAGAAAAAGTACATGTTTCTTATGTGGTGGTGGTGGTTGTTGTTGTTATTCTTGTTTCTTTTTGTGTGTTTCATGTCGGTATATAGTTTTAGGCTGACAAAGAGCGTCAACAATCGTGTTACACGTTTCTCTACGATATTATATATAATTCCTAAATAGAAGCACATCACACGCATGCATGCAAGCAAGCGATTTTCGAATATGTCTAGGTCTAGAGTGTATGAAAACGAGAAGAAGCACATTATCAGGGCGTCTCAATTCGAATGTCTCAATTGTCTGCTTAAATTAATCACCCTAGTGTGTTTGCTTAGTAATAGTTGTAGCTTACTTGTATAGCTTAGTGTACAATCCAATTCAGTGAATGAAAAGCAATTAGCCAGCCAGGATATGTGTGTGTTTAGTGTGAGGATGATCCACCTGCTACACAAAGCAGGCCCGAATGGAATGTATACGGTATATATAATATTATATAATAGTACAACACACACGCAGTTTAGTCACTATTGCTATCAAATATATATGATATATGTATATATTATATATACGTGAGATTTGTCAGCGCGACCTATGGCAGGAACAATGACGGACAAAGCGACTACGATTACGCGTACAATGTGTATACGAGTATAATTAATCTGGTGTGTGCTTAAGCTTAAGCGCGAAAAATCAACGCCGTGTTGGAAGCGGGCGAGACCGTCGAAGGAGGCACTCCCATGCTGAATGGCGTGTACATCCTCGACGGCCACCAAAAACGCGCCCGCTTCCGCCAAACTCCCAATCCTCCAAAATCGTAACATTTTTCGCGGTGGAGGCGCCGGGCACGTGCAAAACAGCATAAGAAAAACGTACAAAGCGACTTTTATAAGTAAAAATATATTTTTCATTTGGTGCGCCTGTTGCTTAAATTTTTTATTCATTTCTTTTCTTTAATTGTAGTTACTTTGTTTCCTTAGTTAATCGCAAAAGTTGTGTGAAAGTGTGTGCTTATTTTTTTTCTTGATTTAGAGTTTAAGTAAAACAGCAGCTCCAAATTTTTGGTCGGGTGGCGCGCGGGCCGCGCTTGCTTTGGTCCGCGAGTTCCAGCCAAACAAGCAACGTTATTCCATTCTTCCGTCGTTTAATTTTTTTTTTGAGTTTTTTTATATTTTTTAAAAGTCTAGAGAATGCTCGTTTTTTGGTTGTTTTGGTGTGATCAGTACAGTCATATATGTTTCAATATTTCAATCAATGAATACATACAATACATTTACAATAATATATACTTCAATAGATGTACTACTTAGTAATTAGGTTTTTCCTTGGGTTTAACATTAACAGTTTATGTGTGTGTACATGCATATTACGCGGGATGTTTTTTTTTCCTTTTGAGTTTCGTTGGTGTTCGTTTATGATCTGATGCCTCCTATCTGAGATGCCACAAGTACCACGCTTATCAGTTTCATTTTTCTTTTTCAAATTTATTAATGGCGGGGGCGGCGGTCGATTAAGAAGCGTTTATTGCAGCTCAACGCTTCGTAACCGATCGCACACAATAAATTATGTGTAACAATGATCGTGTATGAGTAGTAGTGGGGGGAAAATGCCAACAATAACCGTTTTTTACAACATTTTAGAGAGCGATAACAGAATCGATGATGATTCAATTTGCAACATTTCGCACACAATTTAATTTTCATTTTGCAGCAGGGATTTCAATGCGCGTGTCTGGGAAGGCATTTCCGTTAATCACAGTCTGTTAGAAGAGGTTTCGTTCTATGCGATGTCTCGTGTATCTTGTTGGGACTTCCATTTTTGGCGAGTGATGAGGGGGAGGTGGGTGCATTTGGTGTGTGTGGGTGTATGTGGTGCGTGTTCATGTGGACAATCTGCGGCGTGGCGCGATAACAGTAGTGCACAACAACAAGTCTCTAACCATGGCTACGTTATTAATATTTCTATCCGTAAATATACATACATAACATGAGCAATTTCGCGCAAAATGTATAAAAATTTTACTCTCAATATCATCGTGTCAATCCGTTCGGGATTCTTTCTTCCTAGTGCTTCTCACATGTTGCGCGTTTTGCGCGATGATGAGTTTTATAGTCGGTCTCGTGCGATGCGAGTAATATTAACCACTTACACTTAATTCAAATTTAACAAGAGACATATGTAGACATATTGTGCGACGGGAATGTGTGTGAGTGAGTGTTTACATACTTCATTTTTTGTTCACAATTTGGTTTTCAATGACTAGAAATCGCGTCGGAATGAGACATTTTAAAGCGGCGAAAACTTGAACGTGAAACTGAGTGAGCTTTGCAGTGCGCTTTGACTGTTGTTCATCATCCGTATGTTTAGATAGATAAATGTTCCCTAGAGTAATTGACATGAAGGTAAAACATGTTTTGAAGACGAGCTCGTCGTTGGTGTTTCAGGGCGTCCGCGCGGCTGTGGTGCGTGTGTTTTCCTTTTCCTTAGTTAAGTTCATAAGTGTAATCAGTAATAAGAGTTAATTGTGCTTTTTGCTGCGCCTGCGTTCGGACGGCTTGTGAAGGTGTCATACGGTTTGCAGATCTTTGCGGCACACGTTGCGGAATTTTGATTATCCTCTCTCTCTCGGTCAGTGGAGTAGTTAGTAATAATAATTGGAGTGTTTTTGTTTGCGCTGGACGCCCGTGATCGCCTTTTATCACTAGCGCTTTACCAGAAATTTACAAGAAATGTTTGCGTTTCGAATCAGTCTTACCGAAAAAATGCATATCCTCACGTCAGCGTTGCGGGTGCGGGCGCGTTTGAATGTTTTAGTTTGCTTTTGTTGCAGTTTTCCTTTATTTATGAGTTTGGTCCGCACGATCGGTCACGCATCAGCATCATCGTCAACATCATCACTACCAGATTAGATGTCACAGATATAGAAAGAGCAAGTATGTGTGGCAACACCGTCCATATCCATCTTAAGATTAATAGATTAATAATACGTAATAATTAATAATTAATGAATGTTGTTATACCTCTTAGAAGCTAATGACTATCAATACCATTAAATCACACATGCCTATATACGGTTTGTAGACGTACAACTAGAATATCGTAATAAACTTCCATTTTAGGATAAATAACTTGCTTAGTTGGGCCCAAGATAGATTGTTCGAATAATTACTTGAAAGCTGCCGGCCTGCCGTCCCCAAGGCGGGGGCCGGAGATTATCATATCGTCACTCTCACTTACATCGCTAAGTACAAAAGTATATTCTCTAAACGAGTCGCCTGCCGCCGTCGCCGCCGAGGATTGGCACCTGGTTGCCGCCACCGCCGCCGAAAGAGTGCTACGATTCAACTACACAGTATACACACAATACAGAGAAGACCAATTTTCTAAAACAAAACAAAATCAAACACAAACAAAAAAAAATAATAAAAAATATAAAAATAAAAAAATTAAAAACACACCAGGAAGAAAACACAGAAGTGTAGATCTACGCTTGTTGTTATATACCTATATCCGGAATTTCCTAAAAACTGTGGGATGTTTGTTTGTTCGTGTTAGTAATCGGCGAAATGTTAGAATTTGATTCGAGATTCGAAAAACGTCAAAAAAACGTGTTTATAATGAAAACTGCAGAACTGGTATTATTATAATTAAAAAAGCATTTACAACAAAAATATTCAAAAACAAAACAATGTACAAATTTAATTTAAGAACAATTTTATCATATTTAAAAACTAATATAATAATAACAACAAAGTATAAAAACTAACTGATTAAATGGGTTCTTTTACTTCTTTTTGCGCTTTCGCTTAAATTTGTTAAATTCCTTTTTCTAATCAAAAACTCAAATTCAATCTATATAGTATCGTGCCGGCGGGGGTCCGCCACTCTCTCAGAGCCGGTGTCGTTCCGAGGCAGTCTTTCGAGGAACAATGTAGAAAAAATAGAGTGTACTCTGGGGGTTTTTAGGGGGATGTGGGGCTGACGAGTGCGCACGCACACGCGCCCCCATTGATGGTCGCACGTGCGCGTGCGAATCGGCAAAACAACTTAACTCTTGTCGGAAGGACACCGCTTTGCTTAAGTTTTTTTTTCTTTCGATGATAATGGAGAAACAGATAAGATACAATTATTTAGATAGAGAGAGAGAGAGAACGGAGAGGGCGGACGCATGCCCGCCGCCGCAGTCCTTTTGTTTCACGTATAATTACAATTCCTTCGATTCAATCATCGCATCGCCTTACACATTAATAGTTTCGAGTCTCGCGGCGAGCGCCGTGGGGGCAGAGCAGTAAAAATGAGATCGCTTAGCCCCCGCGTATTCTTCAATAGGATTATATAACAACATAAATAAATTTTAAAAAAGGGCGTCTCGGGGGAGGTGTTCGTGTGTGGTGAGTGTGTGTGTGTAGTGTATAAATAATGTCCGAGCGGCGAGAGGGGAAGGTGCGTCCGCATAGCGCCCGGCATCGTCCCCCCTCGTGCCCCGCCGCCCCCTTGAGTGGCTGTGCGTGTACGCGTGTGTATGTGGGTGTGTGAACATAAACGAAATCCTATCTAATAGTAAAATACAGTTGGTCAAATTCAATCAAAATCAAATAAGAAGGAAAGCGGACTCACGTCACATGCAACGCGCCTTCCGCCCTCCTCCGGCCGTATCTTAAACTTGGCAGCATTAACAAACAATATATTACTACAAACTACTACAACTAATAATAATAATAATAATAATAATAGAATAATCATTCAGAGACACGAGGTGAAAGAAAGAATCATACTAGCATCCGGTGGCGATATATAGAAAATATTGCAACATGCACCGCACGCTCGTCGGTTTCTGGCATTTCGTTTTGTGAGTGTTATTCTCGTGTTTTTGCGCGCGCCTCCAAACTTAAATAATAGACAATATTATAACAAAACTAAAAAATAAAACAAAATCATCAAAAAATAAAAGTCAATATTACCATACTAATACCTTTTCTTCTTTCTTTTTTTTTTCGTTCGCGTGTTCTCGCGTATGCGCGCAATTCACCACTCTGCACATCTCTGCGAATGTAGTGTGTTTGTGTGTGTGTATGTTCTTTATCGCGAAACTTCTCTTATGTTTAAAACATTTAGACCGATATACAGAGCTACACATCTTCATTGGGGGTGGGGGGCTGGGGCTGCATCTGCGCTCGTACGAGGGGTGACTAGGGGTAGCTAACAACGCGGCTCTTTATCAGTTCCGCCAAAAACAACAACGCGCTATTCTACATACCGTGTATACGCTACGGAGAGACATTCACAACACCGTACACTCATTAGTAAAATATAGTTTCTTATGCCAAAACTTTACGACAAATACAACAAATGGCCCTCACGTTTTATAACTTCTTCGCGCCGAGTGCCGCCGACGTTCAAAGAGATTTTTTGGCCGCTCGCTCATGAAGCACACTCGCGCGCTTCGAATAAAAAAACTCTCGTCAAACTTTTCTCATCTCGTACAATATTAAAAATAGATATCAACGTTACAAAACTATCATTATAAACTGGGGAGGGTGGGCATTCAGGGGGGGAGATGAAACGTAAATGTACAAATCGCGCCATGACGCCGGGCGGCGCCATTCCGATTCTTAAAAATGCATCAACAAAAGGTGTGACGGAATGGTGCGATGCCGCCGGCGCGTCGGGCACGCTGCTCAACAAGACCGAACGTAACGCGAAGGGGGCCGCCTAGCTGGAGCGAGTTACAAACCGATGGGCGGCACCTGTACATAGCGATAGATGTACAGGCGGTAGTCCTTGCTGGCCAGCACGACGCTACCGTCGTCCATCAGCGCCACATCAAAGCATTGCGCGTGCTTCACTTTGCTCTCCAGCGCCGATACCAGCTGCCCATCCTGTGTGAAGATGGTCAGGTTGAAGTTGTTGTGGTTGTCGGCGATGAGGATCTCGCCGGCAGCATTAATGCCCACCCCAATCGGGTAATTAGTAATGCCTTCGCCGCCGATCTGTCGCAGGAAAATTCCCTCGTAGCTGAACACCTTGACGCAGTGCGCGCGGTTATCGCTGATGAAGATCTCTTGCTTATCATTGACAACAACTCCGTTCGGGAATTCGAGATGCTTGGAGCAGCCGAACTTCTGAAGTACGGTGCCCGACTGATCGAAGATGATCACTCGCATTACCTTGCATTCCACAACGACGATGCGTCCCTTGTTGTCAACGGTGACGCCTCGCGGGTGCTGCAGAATATTAGCGCCAAACTTGCGCACAAACTGACCGTACTGGTTGTAGATCTGGATCTGGTGTGTCGGAGAACGCTCCGTAACGATAATGTCACCAGAAGTACGCACGACCGCAACGCGATTGGGGTACAGAGTTGCCCGTCGCGTTTGCCGCACTCTCCAAACTGGAACTTGAAGCGGCCTTCCTTGTCGAAGATCTGAATGCGGTGGTTGTTCGTGTCGGCAACGATGATGTCATTCTGAGCATTGACAGCGACTCCGCTGGGTTCCGTAAACTGGCCCTCGGTGACCCCAAACTCTCCGAACTTGCAATGGTAGATCATCTTTTGGCGTTTAATCTGCGACTTGGGCGGGAAGATCGTCGTAGACATCAGCTTGGAAGTGATATCAAAATCAGTATTCACTTGCCCGCCGCCGCCACCAGTAAGATGGTACGGTTCTGGGACACCTCCATTCTGGAAGATACTATCAGTGCCACCATTGGACCATTTTTCATAGGAGTTGATACCATTGAGGTTCATATCACCCACGGTAGTGGTGAATAGACCTAGACTGTGCGCAGAACTGAAACGCTTTGTGATGATGTTAGACTCAAAGGGCGAGGTAGACTGGCTAGAGCTGGAGATCGTGAAGGGGCAGTGAATGCCGCCTCCAATACCACCATTCAAACTACCGGAACTGCCATTTACACTTGAGCCACTGGAGCTGGAACCACCGCCGGCACTACCACTTCCACTACCACCAGTTGGGCGAGCAATCGGGGGCTGTTTGCTAGGGCCAACCACAGGTTCTGAATTGGATCGAACATAGCCAAAAGTGTTGCGCACTCCCACCTGAATAGCCTGGTAATTGGAGACAAATTCCAAATCGCACGCCTGTTGCACGCTCTGGTCAACATTGAAACTCAACAATGACTGTAATTTGCTGTCGAGCAACTTGCGGCACATGATGATCTCCACCACGCTGGCACATTTGTTCAATTTATCCACAAATTCACAGGTCTTGTAGATATTATCAACCGTTTCCTGCCCTTTCTGGGTAGCCACCCCTAATGAGATCTGCTTCGCAGAGAAAACAGACTCCAATTCCTTCAGGAGTTCTTGCTTACGCTCGTCCAGCATGGAACGGTAGAACTGGAAGGTGTCGTTGATTTCGTTCTGCGCCTTGTGGTATTGCACTTGCAGGCGGCTGGTAGCGTGTTCTACGTTCTTCATCACATTCTTAATATCGGTAGCCTTAGTTTTGGCCTCTTGGATAGCATGTGTGATAGCCTCGATCTGCTTGGGCGCCGCATCATTAATATGCTCCCAGTCGTGTAGTCCCGCGGGGTGCTCCATCGAAATGCAGTCTTTGCAAATTGGAACAGCGCATGTACGGCAATAGTACTTGAGCACCTCACTCTTGTGCTTAGGGCAAGACATTGTCTTTTCGCCGTTTTGACCCATCGCGGTGGCGGAGGGTTTGTGCGACGTTGGCGGAGCACCCGTATCGTCCTTAATATCCAGGTTGAGCACCCGGTGGCCCTCAAAACAGTGCATAAATTGATGCGCCATCACGCAGTTAGAGCACAAATAGTTGGCGCAGTCAAAACAGCGCGCGATCGCGTCTAGCTTCTTCTTTTTGCAGCCGGTGCAACGCACTGCCGGCGAGATGATATGCTCTGCGTTGGAGAGCGGCAACGGTGTATCAGCAGCAGTGCCGAGGAGAATATTACTGAGGATACCCTCGATGGAGTCAATTTGACAACGGGGGCAGGTGTACTTGTTCTTCTCGTAGCAGCTGGCGCAGATAACGTGATAGCAAGGTAGGTGGTGGGCGGCGTCGGCCCCCGGTTCGCGGCAGTTCTGGCAACACGCGGCGCCTCCGTGCCCGCCGGCAATCAAGTCGTGGTCGCGTTCGGCCGAATCGCTTACGGGTGGCGACGATCCGCTCACGGTCAGCGGCGAATCGGCAAGTGAAGATAGCGATAGGTAGTCGGCGTGATCGCCGAAGGATCCGATTGAATTTGCACGTGGTAGTGATTCAATTGACGGGGTCGGTGATGCCATCTTCAATTAACCGTCATCCCTGCAAAAGAAAACAAAAAAACCCATTGAAAAACGACACCAAAACACAACCGCAAATGGTCCCCATTTGGAACCACTGGTCTAATCGTTAGAGGTCGTCGGGTGCATCGAGAAGTGCTAAACAGAAACGTCGATGTCACCGACCAGCGTTTGTTCCGTCTGGCACGGATGGTGAAGGCGCGGGGAGACGCGGGCGGATCGATGTGCAGCGAGGGTGCCCACGTAGTCATGACAACGCGTGAGGGTTGCTAGTGGTATGCAACACCCCGCTGGATTTACGGCTGCTGCTGCCGCCGCCGTCGGCTGCAACAAGGTCCTACGAGTGAAGAGTACAAGAAACTCGGAATGGTAAAGCCAACCTGTTGCCAAAAATACGCCCGGGAAAAGAGCATAGCAGAGAAAGAAAGCTAGCGCAACCAAAAACAAACTCGAAAGTAAACAAATTGCTGATTACAAAGCAAACGAAACGTGCGCGGGATGTTTATGTATGGTGGTGTGTATGTGTGTGCAGCTCATATCGCGCAGGGGTGCGTTGACCTCTCGCGCGCACATTTAACGAATTGCGTTCCCCCATCACCGGGCATCGGGGGGGACTCGTCGGGGTGTTATCCTGCGGCGCATGCACGACGCCACCCGACAACTGGTCGTACTGGTTTCGCCAAGTGCCCGCGCATTTTAACGATATAATCATGAGCTCGTCTACAAATTAATCATCAAATTGATAGATGAGACATGGAAGCAAGAAAGCCGTGCCCTTTAATTGCGTCGAATCGATATTGCCGTGTGCGAAATTCACGGAAACTACGCGTGACAACTACGACACGGAAAAGCGGAAAATTTTCCTGCTCCATTTACCTGTAGCGCTCCGTGGAAAGGGCGCGCGCGCTTTGTGCATGACTCACAAAGCTCAACGATCGCCAGATAGCGCCACGTGCACGAAAACACACAAAGAAAAGTTCACAACGAGCAAAAAACAATCCCAAAACTTTAGACAAAAGCAAATGGCGCAATGTTTAGTAATAAATTAAACAATAACTTACAATATTAGTCGTTTGTTAGTATAATAAAGAAGGCATTTAATTCATCTAATAGGCACGTTATCACCTCACTCACTTTAGAATTACTATCGCAGCAGTAAAGTAACTGAACATCACAATGCTTCGTATAACAATTAATTTTAATTTATTGTGTGGAAATTGTAGAATAATTCGTTTAAAACTTCACTATAATTCGCGATACGGTTACGTTGAGAGTTTGATAGATAGGAAACGCGCGCGAGTTCCAGCTCATAGCTGGTTCTGTTCGGTACTAAAGCACGAAAAGGAAAAAGGGCGCCGAAGCACGGGCACGACCCTCTCCGTTCGCCCTGGCTGCAACGTGCACGGACAAAGAAAACGCACCGAAATTTCCGACAGATGTTAATGCGAGACTAGTCAGGAGCGCGGCGGCGAGCGAAAGAGGGGGAAAACATCCCCTAACGTGCACCACTGCTGCTACTAGTTTGTCGGCCCTTACGAGGGGTATTTTCACAATTTTGACGTTGCCACGTTAAAGCCCGAAAAGGAAACAACGATCTTCTGGTAGGCTGAAGAAAGAAGTTCATCATCGTGTTATAGAGGTTTCGCTGGCTCAGTTGCTCGCCTCGGCTGTGTTAACCTGTCATTGCTTCGTTATAATTGATGCAATTAAATATAGCCGGCGCATTGCAGAAGCGAACCGGGGTGCGAGACGTTCGTAAATTTAAACGCACCGAAAATTTACGAGTCCGACCGGGAGGGACTCTACCAGCATCATTGCATCATCGTGCGAGTGTGCCGCCAGCATCCGAGAGAGGCTTTAATTAGACGCCCGCATCTATCCGTACACATAATGCGTTTACGGTTACGGTTCGCCACTTTTTCTCAGCACACATCACGCTGTGGAGAAATTTCTCGCATCCAAGCGCGCCACAAAACAATTCGTTGCTGTCGGTGTGCTCCGGCTCGATTTAATCAATCATCGAATAAGATTTCCATTTAATTCTTTAGTGTGCGAACGAGTATTGAGGGTCTTGAATGGTTTGTGAAAACAGCCAGTCATGGGTACCTGCCTAGGTGCGCTGGAAATGATCAAACAGGGGATGAAAACCTCTCTTCTACCTGGCTGGCACTAATGTCCATTTACTCATTGAGTATTCTATGCGTTTCTCATCTCTTCGCCAGACAGTTACCTAGAAGAGGTGCTACTCAAGAATGTTCGTTGTCACCGTAAAAAATTCTACCCTTCGAATTGGTTTCTTAACTTCGTAAGAAAGAACCGCTGCTAGACTTGAGAAGAAGAAACAGAAAAAAAAAAGAAACGTTTTGAATGTTATATTCCCAAGCAATTCGTCGGTGTTGTGCATTTGTGGTGTGGTGAAACCTCAAAAATGTTGATAAACATTCGGAAAATTCGGCTCGTGTTACACGAGCGTGCAACGTGTCTTCGTTGTGTTTCGTCGTGAATTGCGCACTTTTCGCGTAATAACTCATTATATTACGCTCGGTTAGCGCTGAGCACACAGCTCAGTGCGGTATTACTTAATCGCAAGTAGGACATGCGGTTCGAGAAAGCGATCAAGGACACCGGCACGCGAGCGAGAGAGCTCAGCTCTGCAGCTCAGCGAGCAGAAGATGCTGAAGAAATAGGAGGCGCAACAATATTCAAACTTTGCGAAACGAACAAACGAAACAAAAAATCCACGCCGGTGTAAAATGATACTTTTTCCTCCGAATTTTGACACCGGAAATTACCATATAAACTCCCAAACAGCTTGCGGCTAAAAACTAGAGTAGATGAAAATAGTGTAGATTTGGCAATTTTCAAAATTCGCACGTCAGATAGGCTTGTGTATTGGTTTATGCAACATGCTGTCTGTCCGTCTGCAGTGTTCGGTGTGGTGATCAAGGTGGATATTAGATGGTACACACACTTTCACTTTAATTCGAGTTATGCCGAGCCGCGAACGTCGAGCACGCCGTGTTATGCAATATCGCCAACAACCGATCCAGCATGTAATCCTCCGGTGTGCCGGCTTCGACAATGCTAACCCAATGTAAGAAACGAGAACAATACACCAAAAGTAAAATGTCAAAACGAGTACGTTCACAATATATTATACTAAAAGTTCAAAAATTAAAAACTGTTGAAGCAATTAACCCGCAAATCCGAATTGTTTATTTTCTGCGCGAATGTAATTTTTTGCGCACAAAATGAATGATGTAATAATTGTACTTAAACAAGAGATGTTGATCTGGGCACATATTGCGCGGGTGTATAACATTAAACTTTCCAGCCACGCTTGTGCACAAAAGTGAAAGTCAAATGTGGATTAGTTTTCGTAAAATTAATTAACTTTATACCATTTTTCCGGCTGATGAATCAGGACCAGTGTGTCACATCGATTTTGTGTTACACGCGTGCAAAAACAAACAACGTAGAAAAAAAAAGCACCATAAGGTTTCGCAAGTGTGTTGTGCTGGACGCGATTACAATACGCAATGTGGCGATCGTTTAGTATTTCAAGGATAACGATTGCGTCAAAACCCTCCCGCATGGTAACGATTTTATTCGATCTTCACATGTACGTCAACACATCGCCGCGTTGACTGAATTAATTTTTTTTCTGCTCCACTCTCTGGATATAATCTCGCAGGCAATAACAAAAGTAATTAATTCCGCAGTGCGCAAGCAAGCAACAAGTCAGAACAAGATCACACAAGAGTATCTTTTGTGTGTGTGTGTAATTTCTTCGCGCATTGCGCAATCTCAAACAGCTGAGAGAACGAACGCTCTCTTTCATCCGTCCGTTCGAACTTTGAATTCCTCGCATCAGACACCACACATGGTTGTGGTTGTCTGTGGTGGTATACAAGGAGAGGCACGATTTTACAGTTATTAACGAAAGCTGTTTCGCAGCTCGACGCTCGCGAGTAGGTGGCTAAATGCTTTTACTTTCGTTTGATAACGAGGCAAGTCGAGAACGAAAGTCGTTGCATCACAAACATATTCACAACGAAATGAAAATTGCGATTTAAAATCTTTGCTGGGATCGCGTGCGATTGGGTATTGCGTCTTTTAGGAAAATATTATCGACTAAACAAAACAATTTCCCCGTCGTCGTCGAAAGCGCAGAGGGTGAAAAAAGATACGAGTTAATAGAGCGGCCATAAAGAAGCATGGTGCAAATGTAAAACGTCGAAACATTCGTCGTGCGTTTGATGCTCGCGTCATAAACAAGCTCCTCAAATTGCCAGTTTCGGGAGCGCATCAAAACCTCATCTCGTTGCCTTCCCTCGTCAAATTTCCTTCGTGCGACGCAGCGCTATGTGGTCACACCGCACGCACCACACCACCACCGGGGGAGTAAATTACGTTTTTCACGACCGTTGCACGAAAAATGAATTTCCACCGTCGGCGCCGTTGGGAGCGCGTTAATGTTAAAAGTTTGAAATAATTCGGGGTATGCTCATGTCATGTAATTATATTCTTTAATTTCGCAATTAAACGCGCGCAGAGTTTTACGAGTGGCGGCGAATGTCAGAGAGGAACTAGAGTGTACCAAAGTTGCGTCAACGAAATTTCGTTGTTAGAAGAAAACACACGGCGTGTTCTGCAAAGAAAGAGAAAGGTTTCGCGCAACAAGCTCCAATTTACGAAACTCGTGACAGACATGATGTACACGTCATCACCATCGCCTAACAGTCTCGTTAATTCATCTCATAACGCCTCAACATTTGTGCACCACGTGCAAATCTCAAGACGTTTCCGGTGGAAATTGAGCTGCAAAAATCGTTAAATCTTGGTTGCTACATAAAGTGGTAAGATAATTGTCTCTAGGAACTTGTTCGAGGGCGCATTCTTCTGACCATTTACAGCTCCAGAAGCATGAATAATTCGAATTTAATGCCGGAGAGAAAAAGGTAGCGTAGCAGCACCGGGTCAAAATGTTACGCCGAGCTTTTGCCCAAGAGGGCCTTTTAA